ATAATTACTCTACTGCTGTAAATGGAAGAATTTGGTTGATGTGGGATCAATGTGAATATAATATAGCTATTCAAAAGGTGGAAGCTCAATTAATACATGAAGTTAGAGATATCTCTAATAACTTTTAATGTGTTCTGACTATTGTTTATGGATTTAATACTATGGAAGAGATGAGAAGCTTATGGACCAGTTTGCAAGATATATCGAGTAGTACTAATTGTCCATGGTTAGACTTTGGGCATTTTAATGCAATGTTAATAACTGCAGATAGAAGGAGCTGCCATCCTGTGACCTTCAGTGAGGTTAAGGACTTTGCAGACTGTATTAATTCCACATTACTAAGTGAGTTACAATGGAAAGGTGATTGTTATACATGGTCAAATAAGCAACACGGAGTAGAGAGAGTAAGCAGCAAAATTGACAGAGCCTTTGGTAATCATGACTAGATGATGAACTGGGGCCATATTGTCCTAGAATATGATCTGCCTAACATATCAGACCATGCCCCAATGTTGTTAATCTTACACAATGTGAATCAAAACATTTTTCAATATATGGTGTGAGCATGCACAATTTCTGGAGCTAGTGGAGATACACTAGAAGAAGCAATTGGATATGGACCCTATGCAGAATGTCTGGAACAAGTTGAAGGCAATGAGATCAATCTTCAAACAACTGAATCAAAAAGAATTTCAAGCAACTACAGAGGAGATTGACAGGGCAAAAGATGAACTTCAAGGAATTCAGCAATGGGAGCAAACTATGATGACAATCTTGTAATTAAAGAAAAAGAAGCTCTAATGAATTTAGAGAAATAGAGCCTAATTGAGGAGAGTATATTAAGGCAGAAATCTAGAGCTCAATGGATACATCTAGGAGATTCAAATTCAAAGTATTTTGCTGCAGTTATGAAGGAAAGATATCACAAGAAGCAAATCAAGGAACTCAAGTCATTGAAAGGTGATAAGCTATTGTCTGATCCTAATGAGCTAAAAGAGGAAATTATGTCATTTTACAAAGGGCTAATGGGGACCTCTAACCTTTCTCTCAAGGCAGTCAACAAGGTTACAATGAGTAAGGATCCTAAGCTTAATCATGAGCAACAAATCCTTCTGTGTGCACCAGTTACTGATCAAGATTGAGAGCAATTGGGAATGATAAATTCCAGGGTTGGATGGGTATAATACTTACTTCTTTAAAAAGGCATGGAGTATAGTTGGTCCAGAGATCACAAAAGTAGTAAGAGGGTTCTTTGAATATAGCAAGATGAATAGAACTATCAATTGTACTTCTGTCACTTTGATTCCTAAGAATGATCATCCTGCTAATGTGAAAGAATATAGGCCAATTGCTTGTTGTACAATGTTGTACAAAATCATCTCTAAAGTTCTTGCATCAATACTCCAAAAAGTTATTGCATCTGTTGTGTGTGAAGCTCAGACTGGATTTATTCCAGGAAGAAAGATTTCTGATAACATTTTCCTTGCCCAAGAACTGGTGAAGTACTATACAAGAAAAAATATGTCTCCTAGGTGCATGATAAAATAGACCTTCAAAAGGCCTATGATTTAGTGGAATGGGTATATCTGGAGCAAGTACTAGATGAGCTAGGATTCCCTAGGCAGTTCACCATATGGATCTTAGAGTATTTAAGACAGTGAATTATTCTATTATGATTAATGGAGAACCTACAACTCCTTTTAATGTAGCTAAAGGACTCAGACAGGGGGATCTAATTTCTCTATTTCTCTTTGCAATAGCCATGGAATATCTTAGTAGAAAGCTCAATGCAGTGAAATGAAGCAAGGAATTCAAGTATCACCCAAAGTGCTCTAAGCTATCGGTGACTCATTTGTCATTTGCAGATGATCAATTGCTATTTTCTAGGGGAGATGTTGAATCTGTGGCCACTCTGAATAGGTGTTTCATGGAATTCACAGATGCATCAGGTCTTCAAGCTAACAAAGAGAAAAATGCCATTTATTTTGGAGGGGTTACTCAAGGGGTGCAGGATCAAATTCTACAATTCTTAGGATTCTCAAAAGGAGAACTTGCCTTAAAATACTTGGGGATACCTCTAGCTACTAAAAAGATCTCATTAATGCAATGGCAACAATATTAACAAGATGGTATCTCGAATCACTTCTTGGACTGCAAAGAAGTTTCATATACATGAAGATCTCAGTTAATTCAAACTGTCCTCTTTGGTATCCAAGCTTACTAGTCCCAATTGTTTGTTATCCCCTATGAAGTGTGATGAGTTTTCAATGTCTTTGCCTTATGCTTGTTATATTTTGATGATCTAACAAACTTGTTGTTAAGAACCAAATAAATAACCTGACCCACATTTCAACTGTCCTGGTTCAAGTCTGAAAATCAGCAAATAAATGAACGAACACAAGGAGGAACACAACAGAGACCTGGTGACCTGGTCCCTTAGGGTTCTTTGACAAAAGTACAAGTAAGTGACTGTCCGCAATCATTATAAAGAGGATCACAACAGGGACCTGGTCCCTTAAGGTTCTCTGGCAGAAGTACAAGTCAACTGAACAGCTGGAACATAACAGCAGAAAGTGACTATCTCGCAACTGTTACAGAAGAGGAACACAGCTGGGACCTGGTCCGTTAGTGTTCTCTGACAGAAGTACAAGCCAATTATCCAGATGGAACGTAACTGCACAAAAGTGACTGTACAGATAATACAGCAGTCACTTCTCATTGGGAAGAAGCGTATATCAAGAATTTACATTACTATCTATTGTGATATCTTTTGTGATATAACAACCAGGTGCAAGACATAACATCTTTGTGCATTTAGTGATATTCTCTCAAGCATAATAGTGTTCATCCGGCATTGAAGTTACTGGTGTGTCAAGAACAAGAAGACAACTCCACTAAGGATCAATTTCTTAATGAGTTTATGTACATCCGTAGTTGAGTTGTAATCTTGTTATTTGCTCTTCATTGTATTTCCTAGTTTGCTTTCCTAGAAGATTTGTCTTAGGAAAAAACCAAAAATCCATAAACTTCCGAGTTTATGTTGTGACTAGGAATAGTCATAAGTTTAAAGCCTTTGTAACTAGGAGAGTTATAAAGTAGCTTGTGGTGAGAGCATCACAAGTTTGTTGAAGTCTTTGTAATAGGGTTATTGCAAAGTGGCTTGTAATAGGGAGATTGCAAGTTAGTGAAGTTGAAAACTTACAAGAGTAGGTCATGGTTTTTTGATTCCCTTTGTGTGAGATTTTTCCACGTAAAAATCCCTTGTCTTCTTTACTTTCAGTTTCTATATCATTCTCAGCGTTATCTCATATAGGACCAGGTACTCTACAGTTTGGTGGACTCATACAAACTAACAAAGTGTTAAGTATAATTGAGGCATACTGTCGAAGCTACCTATGGTCTGGTACAAACACAATCACTAGGAAGGCTCTATTAGATTGGGAGAAGGTTTGCACTCCAAGTCAATGAGTGGCACTCCAAGTCAATGAGTGGACTAGGCTTGATAAACATGAGACTATAGAACAAAGCTGCAATAACTAAAGCTAGTTGGGACATTGAACATAAGGCAGACATGCTATGGATCCGATGGCTGCATGCTTACTACATCAAGAATCAGCAATTTGGTCAAATGGTTACCCCTCTACAGGCTGGTTGGATGGTAAGGAAAATGTTTGAGGCTAGAAATACATTGGCACTGATTCAAAACAACATTGCAGGCAGTTTAATTAAGCAGATATATCTTCAGCTAATTGGGAACAATGAGAGGATTCCATGGAAGACACTACGATTTGGGAATGATGCTCGTCCAAAAGCTCAATTTACAGTGTGGCTACAGATGCATGGGAAACTTCTGACTGTTGATAGAATTGACTCATGGGGTATAAATGTTGATCATGTCTGCAATCTATGTAATAGTCACAATGAAACGAGAAACCATCTATTCATGGAATGTCCTTATTCTACCAAAGTCTGGGAAGGTGTGCTAAAATGGATGGAGGTTCCTAGTTTCAGGACACCACAATGGGAACAACCGGAGAAATGGATCATTCAAGGAGCAAAGGATAAATCACAGAGACCTCAAGTATTCAAAATGACATATACAGAATGAGTGCATACAATATGGATTGAAAAGAATTAATGCAGATTTGAAAGTAGATCAAGGAGTTCAAATCAACCGGTGAGGAAAATTGCATATGTGTGTAATATTCGAGCATCTACTAGAATTAAAGAAATGGTCCATCAGCTTAGTATTTAGTTAGTTCTAGTAATTAAGTATTTCTTTGTGACTTATTAAGATAGCAGACAGTGATGTAGTCTTGCTATGGTTCCTTATTTATAAACATTCTGGTGAAAAATTCTTAAATCAAGATTCTCTTTCAAGTCTGTCAAGGAACAGATTCCCATTTAAGTAGTGCTCAGATTTCTTTATTGTTTATTAGTCTTAATTCTTCCCTCTTTGGAAAATAAATACTGTGGTCTGTGGGACAAAAAGTGAACGCAGTGTAACAAATAGTTTAACACGCTAATCAAGGACGTTTCACGTGACACCATCAAGCTCCAATCTCTACATAGTACAATTTTTGTAAAGTCCCTCCCTGTTTAATTCCTATCCATTTTTAGTTACTTTTTCCGTTTAGATTGGTTATTTTCTTATATTTTAAAATAAATATTTTTAAATTTTAAAAATAATTTAATTTTAAATTATTTATTTTATTAATTTTATCAAGAAATTTTTATATTCATATAAATACTCCTCTATTTTAGTTTATATGAATCTATTTTTTTTGGTCTGTTCTAAAAAGAATAATCTTTTTCTAAATTGAAAAAATAATTTCGCTTAAAGTTATAATTCTACCTTTAATGAGAAATATTCCAAACCACTTTTTAACTTGTTTAGGATGACAAATTACAAACATCTTCGTTTTTTCATTAAACTCTGTACCCAATCAAACAAGTTCACCTAATTATAACACATGTAGTATAGTTTTAACCTTAAACTTTTAAGAACACAAATTTAAAAAGTATTTTTTTTTAAAACTTCCGTGCCGAGACTAAAAAAGAAGAAGAGCAAATCACTACATACTATTGCTCAGTTGAAGATTCTTCCCTTAATCTGCAATTTTAATCAACCTTTTCAGATTCTGATAAAAAAATTAATTTTCTTCAACAGATACAAATTTAATTAGGGTTAGGGTTTTTCATATGCAGAAGTATATATAAATGGAAGCGGCAAATACGAGGGCAATAGGGTTTGAGGAGGAGTATATGAATGTAGCAATTCGAGTGGATGAATATGGAGGTGGAGGATTTAATGCTGATGATATCAGCGGTGGCTGTGAGAGTAGCGGTACTGAAGAATTGCAACACGTGTGCTCCTCTGTGCCGCCTCTTTCTGCTTGCCCTGTAGTAGATAGCGACGGCAGAGTTTTAGCGGCTATGCCTATGCCCTCGCGGAGGACTAGTGAGCTTACTATTTCTTTCGAAGGCCAAGTCTATGTATTCCCTGCTGTTACTCCTGATAAGGTTCAATGTTAATATCATGATCAATTGTTTCTAATTGCACTATGTTTTAAACTTATTTTATAATTGAAGCATGTACAAGTCGATTTGTGTTTGCCTATGTCATTAGCGTAGCCAGCAATTTATACAAGGGATGTTGCAATTGGGATTTGAACCTGTGACTTAAAGCAATTTTTGAACCCCTTTGCACTTCACTGGCCTATGTGGTGACAAACTGACAATTGAATTAAGGGAATGTTTAATGATATTTGTGAATGTGAACTTTCATAGGTGCAAGCGGTACTGCTATTATTAGAAGGGTCTGATATGGCTAGTTATGTACCTAGCTCACATTCTCTTGCACTGGAAACTATCAAGGTGCATTTTTTTAGTTTAGTTGGAGCTTGTTTTCAATTTAAGTGTGATCCAAACAGAGCTTACTGAGGCTGTCAATGTTATACTAATTTTTGGGTTATGTTGTAGAGTGTTGATAACGATGCCCCCACCAGGCCAAATATTTCTCGGAGAATCGCATCTCTGATTAGATTCCGTGAGAAGAGAAAAGAGAGATGCTTTGAGAAAAAAGTCCGTTACACTTGTCGGAAAGAAGTTGCACAGAGGTGAGGTGAAGTTTGTGACCTTTTTTTTTTTTTCCTTTCACTCCGTTTAGTGATTAATATATTAAGAGAATCATTGAGGAGCATTTTTCTTCTTGTCACCTTGATTGGTTTCAGTTAATGTGATATTTAACAAATTCTCTTTAGGGCCCACTTTAACATGTGTGCGCAAATATTTGAAGTAGACTAGTATAAATGGAAATGGAAAATACATATTTGAAGTAGACTGATCTAAAAGTACTGAGCTGTATAATGCTACAATGAAGTAAATATATTTCTTAAAAAGTATTTTTTAGCTGCTAAAACCTTTTTAGATATTTGTTTGGATTCATTGGAAACTATTTTCATTCAAATTCAAGATTTGCTAATGAGGTTCATTATGCAAACTTTTAACTGTTTTAGTTGCTCTGTTTATAGGATGCATCGTAAAAATGGGCAATTTGCCTCTTTAAAAGATGGTGAAAAGACGTATGCTGGCAATATTGATTCTGGTGACAGCATTCCTCATCCTGAACCTACGTGAGTATGGACCATTTTCCTTGCTTCTGACAGCTTATACCAGCAGCATCTCTGTAAAGAATCAGTTGCTCTATTTTTGTCTACTTTAGGCTATGCTTTGTGTTCTTGTATTTTGAGGGCCTTGAAACTGACTTCCTCCACATCTGATTTTGGTGTAAGAATGGCTGTTGTTGCATGAAAAAAGGCTTTCATTCAGAAGTAGCAAAGCTGTAGCAGTGTGATCTAAGATTCTGCATTCATATTCCGCTTAATTGTCCTGCTGTCTCTTTATGTCACTGTGCTGATTTAAGATTCTGCATTCATATTTGGCTCACTTTTCCTGCAGTCTCATTATGTCACTGGGTTGGGATTTTGCCTCGTCTTTTTTCCTTCTAATCTGCATTTACTGTCCTTTGAACTTACAGACTAAGAAGATGTCAACACTGTGGTATTAGTGAAAGTGAGACACCTGCAATGCGGCGGGGCCCATCAGGCCCTAGAACCCTCTGCAATGCCTGTGGGCTTATGTGGGCGAACAAGGTATTGCACAGTGGATCTGCTTGTTCTTTCTGCCCCTCCCCCCAACCAAAAAAAATAAGATTTCTCAAACTCACACTTCTTATGCTTTCCTCTTTTAATCACAGAGGTTAACTTTGTCTATAGTAATTATCGTTTATATTTAACNAAAAAAAAAAAAGGTACAAAAAAGAAATTAAATAACAACCATGTAGTGTAACTCTCTTGAGATGAAGAGTCCTACGTGAAATCTTTTTCCCTCAAGGCAAAGCCTCCTGCCTGAAATCTTTTCATAAATTGCCAACTTAAGGCTTTTTTATGTGATCCAAAAATTTCTTATGTAGCAATATTTACCTATAAATCCTAAAAGCCTCTACTGTTACCTCTTATTTGTCAAGGATTTTTTAGACTGTAATCTGTTGCTCAATTTTGTAGTGCTGATTTTTCCTTTGTGATGTAGAGAACTCCTGATATCAAGTTGTCTACCGTTGCACCTGAGAATTCTTACCAGAAGCAGTATCAAGAGGTAATTATTATTTTAATTTAGTAGTATCAAGAAATAATTATTATATGGGGATCAAGTGGAGAAACAGCGTATAGCATGCAGTTTTCTTGGAATTATATTAATTACTAGTGCCTAAGCCCAGAGTTAACTGCATGGATGATTATCCCTCTCCTATTGCCCTGAGTTAATCGTATGGTTGACTGTTCCTCCCCTTTTTCTGTTTATTGTCATCCATTCCTTTGAGGTCCAGTGGTTAGAGTCTTCATGAGTTGGAAAACACATTTAAAGGGTAAGGTGGTTTCCTCAACGCCACAGTCCTAAGCATTTTATACTTGCTTCCAAGTCCCCTAGCAAAGTCAATAAGTTTTCTATCTTCATCCAACTGTTTATGTGTAGCCATAAGACTATCACAAATTTCTTTAAACTCCTTTATGTATTCATCCATCATTTTTTACCCCAGATTTATAGTTTGTAGTTGTTTCACTGAAATGGAAACTTGGGCATTTGAAAATGTTTGTCCACTGGCATGTCTCTCTTCCTCGTTTTTGTGTGTAACTGTGGCTGGTTGTCATATTTGAAGTCTTTTTTGTTTATACTGATGGCTATGAAATTGTTTGTTCTATTATGTTAATCCTTGACTTAATGGCTCAAGTGATGTTGTCATCACGCGGATCCCCCCTTGCTGCCCCTAAAAGGGCTGAGTTGTCTGAATGAGGATTCCCATCTAGGAAATTTAATGCGGGTAGATAAGGACCTTACAATTTTTTGTATTCTACTCTTGGGTTGATAACGAGTTAATTTACGGTGATTGTTTTTGTCTGTTTTTCTAGCTTAGTCACATTATGTGCATACCCTTTTTGTCTTTGTCTGTATTTGGAAGATCATAGTTTTTTTCTTGTGGGTACAGTTGTAAAGTAGAATTCCTCAATGTATAGAATGCCTGGCTTGAGGTTTTGGATGCTTTGATCCTTGCATAACTTTCTAATATGTCTGTGTTTGGACGCTCTCCTAATGCCCTTTATATGATGACTTTGATTTGAGGAGAAGAAAAAGAATTTATGTTTGCTTCCGCGTGCATAGATTTCAAGCACTGTATTCAATGTTGATATCTTTAATGTAGGATATGCAAGAAGCTGCTGAAAACTTTGTTGATAATTCTTCTGTTGGTATTGGAAGTTCTTCGGCTGATATTGATGAAGAGGTAACTTTTCATCTATTTAGTGCCTAGGGAAAAAAACAAGAGGTGCTTAAGAAACTCACTCGTGAAAGTTATTTATTTTTCGATGGACAAGATCTATAACATAACCATTCCAAAGCTTCACTTACCAAGCTTCTTGGTTCAGCAGGATAATCTTGACGAACTTGCAAATGCTTCTGGTACCGAATTTGAGATTCCTGCAAGCTTTGATGAACAGGTCTGCCCTATTTTCATGCAAGATCTTTTCTTTTACTTGGGATCGTGGTAGAGACATGCAATGTTATATTTATTACTATTCAATTTGAAGTACTATTCGTTAAAAAAATTTGAGCATCATCTATATGTGCTACAGATTGGAATTGATTCACATATGGGTGCTGACTGGCCTGGGACATGACGTACATGGTTCCAAGTTGACACAGAGCATGGAGATTCCACATAATATTACCGTTGGCTTAAAGTTTGTAAAGCATCTGTCAATATAACCAATACCTCACTTGTGTATCTTAGGAGTTGGGAGTTAGGACTTGGGAGGTAGGGATATTTGTATATTAGTATATACTTTGGTTGATACATGTCATAGAATTTCTCGAATTTAATTTTTCTTCTGGCTTCTTTCTCTTATTGTTAGACTTCAGAAAAGATACAAGGGAAAGAAAGATGAAGAATCGCGAGTCCAATACTCAAATGGTCACTCAACTATTCCAAATTATCTCCTAAAGTCATTTTTCTTTCGTTTGTAATAACAAAGTCACTGAACTATGTCTATTGCACCCAGAAGGTCATCCGATCCGGTTATCCTCACTAATAACGGATCCACAATCTCTTATATAATGAATATGAAATTGATATATAATATTCCTTTGCCTAGCTGCCCATTGCTAGAACTTCTAGCGCTAACCCCAGGATAAGAAGTAGGAGGATAGGTAGAGCAAGAGCTCTTGAAGTCTACCCGGGCGCCCTTCTTCATTCATCCATTTAGGCCCGGCTAGGAACAAGCTGTCTAATTAGATCATGAATTACAAATGTCTAAAAAGTTCTATTGCATTTTTTTCAAATTTTTGATTGTCAAATATCTATTTTACCATATAACTTATAAACACTTATCTTTTTTATTTTTATTTTAAATATTATGATTTTTCCCTTTTAAATTAATATTATGGACTTACCTATAGAATAAATGAATTTTATTTATAAAAAAAAGTATTTAAGCATATATAATGCTGGAATAACGATGAGCATAATTAAAAAATTAATTAGAATAATTTGTTCGTAATAATAATTGTAGTATTTACAACAAAAATTAAAAAATTATTTACACAATTGAGAATGAAGGAAAATAAAAGTTTTAAAATATTTATTTCATGCACGTAATATAAAATAATTATTTAAATAAAGGTATTTTTATAATACACATTATATATTCTTGAAAATTATGCTCAATTATATTATTATTTCGTCGTTATATGAGCTGAAAATTAATGTTTTATTTTATAAATGATATATATTTATTCTATTGGTAAGTCCACAATGTAAAATAAAAAGAGAAAAAATTATAATATTTAAAAAGTTTTAAAAACTTGATACTTTAGAGGGTAAAATCGATATTTGACAATCAAAAATTTGAAAAATCTAGTTGAGTGATATTATGAGTGCAATAAGCATAGTTAAGTGACTTTGTTGTTACAAACAAAAGAAAAATGATTTTAGGAGATAATTTGAGATAGTTGAGTGACCATTTGAGTAATGAATTCGAACAATTTGCTAAAAAGAAGGTTGCTTAGTTTGGATTATTTCACCTAATTTAATAATTTTTAGTATAATCAGTTTCATTAATCAACGTTACTAATATTCTTCTATAAAAAATTAATTTTTATTTTGCATAACCTAAATAGGCCCAAATGTGTATAAGTTATCCTCTGTTACCAATATTGGATCTAGTACCACGTTGTATCGGACTGCTAAAAAGAAGGATTAGTTACCTCCTATAGCAAAGGTTGATACCATATTTATTTTAAATATATACCCTCTTAAAAAATTATATTTCATAGCTACCTTTTGATTTTTTATAGCCAAATATCTATTTATGGTTACCTCTTACCTTAAGCCATAAAATAAGATTTGTATTATTTTTCTCTCTTCACTCAAATTTCTCTTATCCCTAACCAAAAGCTTCAGCCGAGGACCCCTAAAAAAGCTGCCCACCCCAAATCTCTCACCCACTAGCAGCTCCATCTCGTTCTCATTCTCTTCAATGGAGGATAGATCTCCTCCTTCTCGAGAGAGCAATAGCCGTCTTTCCCATTTCCTTTCTCCAAGAACGCCCAACACTCAACCCCTCACAAACCTGATCATCCGCCTACCTTCCTAAGAGAGGATCATCATCCTTGAATTCCAAAAAGAAAGCTGATAGCAACCTACTATATTAACAACCTCCAGTCGACAGTAGCTGCAAAAAAAGAGGAACAAAAGAAAACATAGCATCGACACAAGTGAAAATACAAAGATGGAGAAACAGAGTTGAAGTCATCGTTGATACTGATGCTGCTTCAATCTCACCTCCGCCATCAAGACTGTGGACTGCTGACGGTGGCTCCGACGGCTTCAATTGTAAAGAATAGGTTTTTTGAAGCACACGTGAGGGTATTATGGTAACAGGAACTTTGGTGTTTCGAGTTAGAATCACGACCCTCTCGACGAGACGACATTAGGGTTGTTCTTGAACGAAGACGACGGAGTTTGGGGCTGAGCAACTTGAATTTTCTGTTAATATATTTTAATGTATCTCGCTGTATTTCCATCCATTTCATTGTATTCATCGTCTTTTTTTTCATTATATTTCAATGTATCTCGCTGTATTCCATGTATTTCATTGTATTCATCGTCTTTTTTTTCATTATATTTCAATGTATCTCGCTGTATTCCATGTATTTCATTGTATTCACTGTCTCGTTGTATTCCATGAATATATTCATATATTTTTTAATTAATATAATTTATGTATTCATATGTATATATGTATTTAAATTGCTCTTTTTGTTGTATATTATCGGTTGGGAAAAATATTCAGCATATTTTCTCTGAAGATTGCTATACTTTTGGGGTATTTTTTGGTTGAAATCTTTTTTATAACTGAAAATACAAATTTTGTGTGTAATAATTGAGTTTGTTGAGTTATATTAGGAGTCTATTATGTTAAGTCATTCACTTTCCATTTAAAAACATCTGAATAGACCATGAATTGCGCTATTTACATTACTGTATTCACAAATACATATCGTGAATACAGTCGAATACAATAATTTGTCTAGCTGTAATCTCTTGTTTCACGCCGTGAATACAGTCAAATACAAAAATCTGTCTAGCTGTAATCCCCCTGTTTAACGCCTAGAAATGCTACTGTATTCATGTGTACAGTAGATTAAATACATCGAATACACTCTAAAAACCTGAAAATATAGTTATAGGAAGTAATATAGTAAATGGTAGCTACAACTAACTAATAACCACTAAAACATAGTGGTTTCTGAAAGTTTCTCTAAAAAAGAAAGGAATAGAACTTTAAAGGGAATTTTTCATTCCTATACACTATTTGAAACCTTATTATAAAATTTTTTCATGTTTTGATATTTACCAGACCTAAATACATTTTAGTTACAAAATATATACATTCCACCTTAAAAGGCTTCCAATCCATTATTTGTGCCTTCAATCAAGGATTTAGTTACACCCTTTTCCTTTTTTCTCTCCTCTCTCCCCTCTTCTCTCCGGATTGAACTTATATTTAAGGATTTAGAGAATCTAATCCCTCGGATCTCGAGTACTATCACCCTCTCTTTCTCCCCATACCTCATCTTCAACTACTTCATGGAAAAATATAGAAATCCACGCTTACTACTTTATGGCAAAATATACATACCCAAAATCAACCAGACTTTGAGAGCAAAACTCCTTAATGGTATAGAGAAAAGATATGAAAACAAGAATAAACCTTTCATCTCACAGCCAACATGCCAGATAAGGATTAAGATAAAGATCTTAGGGGGCATTGCTCCCGCATGTGCTACTCCTTTGGGTTAGAGGTGGAAAATGACATAAGATAGTTAAGTGAGCAGGGGTGAAGATTATGCTAATATCATGCTTCATTATGTATAAATGGGCATGGGTGAAGATTTATACAACTCGCATATAATCCATTTACCCACCTTGTCACCTATATATCCACTGAAGACAAGAGGAAACTTTATTTGGGCAATCGTAATTTGGATATAACCATATACTTAATTAGACTAGCACGTACAAACAGAACAAAAGATACCTATTAGTACAATTTTATAAAGCAATTGTGAGACAAGTAAATTTCTTTTGTATATTTTATATTTGATTTATATATAATAATTATATATTATACAACTTATCTACAACTTTCATATATTATTTCTACCCAGTTTAATACAACTACAATATCATACAATTTAAATACAATTTTTATAATATGTCTTTTGTATATTTTGTATCTGATTTATACATAATAAAAATAAGCCAAAATCATATGCGGCCTCTTAAACTTATCCCGATTTTCCTCCAAGACACCTTATCTTAGGTCTGTTTCAATTGAACACTTCACCTACTCAAAAAAACTACCTATTAGATACTTTTTTGACACCCAACAAAAATAAAGAATGTGTTCAACGCACTGCGGATGACATGACTTTTTGACTAACTAAAACAAGACATGTGGCATTTGCGACCAAAATAAATTTTAAAAAGATAAATTATTGAGTAAAAAAAACTACATTCAAACATAATCCTAAATTTGCTGCCGCCGTCACCTTCTCTCCATGCCGTCGTCCCTCACTATTCCGATCAAAATGTAACGATTCTCTCTTTGCCAGTAGTAATTCTTGGTGTGCCTTCCTTTTTCTATGTTCTTCAAGCCCTCTCTAATCTATTAGAGAAAATACTTTGAATTTAAAAAATAAAGTCTTAGAATGGAATTTTTACCGGGGGAACAACTGTGATTCCCGGCAACTCAACAGGATCACCGACCTCTCTTTCGACCTCAGCTTCATTTTTTTCGTTTTTTTTTGTTGGTTTTATGGTGGTAGATGGACAATGTATCAGGTGATTTTGGTGAAGTTCATAACTGACTAAAATGGAGATTTGGACCAGGGTTGTCCATATGTATTCTTGACTGATTTTATTATAGAAAAATGGGTGAAGCTGAAGAAGGTGGTGGTAGATCTGAAACCCAAGGAAGAAACGAGGCGGCAGCAGTGTTGTAATAGCAAATCTGAAGGAAACCGAGGGTAGTGAAGGAGATGAGGTGGCTAGAAGAAAAGAAGTAGAAGAAAGATGGATAGTGGTGAAGTCAACGGTGGTGGTAAGGTGGTGGATGGGAGGAAGTGGCGGCAAGAAGATAGAAGGAAGAAGAATAGATAAAATAAAAATTTGATTAAATAATGCCTCTCACGCACTAGTTGAAGGTGCATTTCACACGTCATGTCATGTCAGCGAAAAATGCCTAATAGGTATACTTTTTGAGTAGGTGAAATGTTCAATTGGAACAACCCTAAGATAAAGTGTCTCGGAGGAAAATCGAGACAAGTTTAGTGGCCC